TTGCTGTTCTGGCTTCTGGGATAGCTGCGCAGCCTACATTCACTCCATAAGATGCACACACATTTCCCCTTACTTTTTAGGAGGGAAAAAGTGAGTCTTATAGAGCAAAAAATACGGTATATTTAACAGGCATACATGACATTACCATGGAGATCTTCTCCTACTATGCTTGCTGAATGGCACAACCAGACTTCAACTCCCATCTGCCTCAGCCACCATAGACAATGGCCATGGAATATAGGAGCTATAGTTCATAAACATCTGCAAAGCCCCTGGTTCTCCTTCCCGGTTCTAAACATATGTCCAAAGAATCAGGGATGATTTATTTTATAAACCTGCAGGGGGTGAAGGAGGGATGGGGAACCTGTGCCCCTGAAGTTGTTGCAGGATCCCAAGTCCTCTCAGCCAGCATTCCCAATGGACAAGGATGATGGAAGCAACATTGCAAGGAACACAGGATGCCCATCCCTGCTCTAATTGGAAGAGCCATCTAGCCTTACTTTAATGTGAACCTATGACAAGCTTGGAAATATCCCCCCAAGAAAATAGGCTTACCTGCTGCTTTGGTGAGATGTAGTGAAGACAGGAGAGTCAGATGAAGCTGTTGGAGAAACTGGAAGAACTTTGAGCTTTTATACAGTTCTGCAAGCTGCCCCCGTCACCAAGGGACTGCCTCTTCTGACTAATTTTTTATTTAGTTGTTGACAATTTAATGCGCAAAATTACTTCACTAAGCACAAAAGGTCACAAAATTAAGTGGTTGTAATAATGAAAGACTAATAGTCTTAACACCATTCCCACTCCCTTCCTTTTAATTTTGCTGACTTCGAGTCTGATGCTTGAAACCAGATGCACCCAGAGGGAGCAGATAGAGATCTTCAAAGCGCTTTCATCAGCTTAAGGGACTCTAGGACATCATCAAAGATTTTGCATATGCATACCGGATTCTAAGAGATCTCCAGTATCAGTGTCCTCACGAAAATCCATCAGCACACAGTTGTACAGTGGTACCTCGGGTTAAGTACTTAATTCGTTCCGGAGGTCCGTTCTTAACCTGAAACTGTTCTTAACCTGAAGCACCACTTTAGCTAATGGGGCCTCCTGCTGCTGCCGCACCACCGGAGCACGATTTCTGTTCTCATCCTGAAGCAAAGTTCTTAACCTGAAGCACTATTCTTGGGTTAGCGGAGTCTGTAACCTGAAGTGTATGTAATCTGAAGCGTATGTAACCCGAGGTACCACTGTATTCAGTTTTCCCTCATCTACACATTACTGCAGTGCAATTCTCTTTAATATCATACATTGTTGTGCCTTCTTTTCTTTAAGATATGCATTTGTAGGCACAGCTTACTCCAATGTATTCATTTTGCTACCCATTACAGTGCTACCTTGATTCTCGAATGACTTAGATGTCAAACAAATCAGCTCCCGAACCCCGAAAACCTGGAAGTAAGTGTTCCGCTTTTTGAATGTTTTTTGAAAGCCAAATGCCTGACTCAGTTTCCCCTTGACCGCAGGAAGCTCCTGCAGCCAATCGGAAGCCGCCCCTTGGTTTCCCAATGGTTTTGGGAGTCAAACAAATTAAGTTTGAGACCCAAGATTCCACTATACTTGGATAACTGCACTGGGAAATGCAGACAGCTACAGATTTTGTAGCACAGCAATGTTTCAGTTTGCACATTGTTTCAAAAAGGGTGGATAAATTTTGTTTTTCTTTAAGGGTCAATTGAATTGAATTTCTCTCCCATTCCTAATCTCACCTGCCTCGCTGCCCCTCTGTCACTGAAAAAACTTCATTCCTGTTTCTACTTAAACTTACTCCACTTGATCCTTGTTCCCTTCTGTCATGGTAGTGTATATGGTTCTGACAAGATATAACTGCACTCCCATCAGCTCCAGCCAGCATGGCCAATAGTCAGAAATTATGTGAGTGAAATCCACAAAAACTAGGGGGAATCCTGTTGGCTACCTCTGCCCTGCTTAAATTAAGCCTAAAGCAAATACATCCAATCCAGGAATGGGGAATCTGTGGAACCTCCTCTATTGCTGAGGTTCATATCCAAGGAAAAGTGTGCACAGTTCCCTATTCAGACCCGCTTCTTCTCATTTTGTAACAATGCCAGAGGCTGAGATATAAATGGCCAATAGCTATGATAGCAGTGTTTGAAATTCACCAGGTGCCAGGCTCATTTTGCACCTGGCTATTGGCCACTTGCGACCAAGTGCAGATGCCCAGGCACCAGGATGGTGCCTGATGTCTCCACCATCTGGAGGTGCATGACTGGGGATCCATGGATCTTGGCTGTTTTCATACACTAGCAGCACATCCTGTAGAATTCTATTAGAATTCTAATTCTATCTGCATAATCAGAATGAACTTCATTCTGTTCTCAATGACCAACTTCAGGAGCCAAAAGGTTCTATTGAAAAATACAACTTTTGAGCCATCTGGCCCCAACATGGCAAGTAGGCATTCCATTTTGGCAACTGTAACCCTTGTTTAAGGAGCCATAGGTCACCTAGCTTATATATCTGAGCTTCCAACACTGTATGCATGTTCTATTTCATAGAATCATAGAATCATAGAGTTGGAATAGACAACAAGGGCCATCGAGTCCAACCCCCTGCCAAGCAGGAAACACCATCAGAACACTCCTGACATATGGTTGTCAAGCCTCTGCTTAAAGACCTCCAAAGAAGGAGACTCCACCACACTCCTTGGCAGCAAATTCCACTGTCAAACAGCTCTTACTGTCAGGAAGTTCTTCCTAATGTTTAGGTGGAATCTTCTTTCTTGCAGTTTGGATCCATTGCTCCGTGTCCGCTTCTCTGGAGCAGCAGAAAACAACCTTTCTCCCTCCTCTATATGACATCCTTTTATATATTTGAACATGGCTATCATATCACCCCTTAACCTCCTCTTCTCCAGGCTAAACATGCCCAGCTCCCTTAGCCGTTCCTCATAAGGCATCGTTTCCAGGCCTTTGACCATTTTGGTTGCCCTCCTCTGGACACGTTCCAGTTTGTCAGTGTCCTTCTTGAACTGTGGTGCCCAGAACTGGACACAGTACTCCAGGTGAGGTCTGACCAGAGCAGAATACAGTGGCACTATTACTTCCCTTGATCTAGATGCTATACTCCTATTGATGCAGCCCAGAATTGCATTGGCTTTTTTAGCTGCCACATCACACTGTTGGCTCATGTCAAGTTTGTGGTCAACCAAGACTCCTAGATCCTTTTCACATGTACTGCTCTCAAGCCAGGTGTCACCCATCTTGTATTTGTGCCTCTCTTTTTTTTTTTGCCCAAGTGCAATACTTTACATTTCTCCCTGTTAAAGTTCATCTTGTTTGTTTTGGCCCAGTTCTCTATCAGAGACAGTAAGCCTCTGATTACCAGTTGCGGGGAATCTCAGGTGGTGTCTGTGCTGTTGCATTCAGATCTTGTTTGAAGACTTCCCATTAGGAGATCTGATTGGCCACTGGGAGAATAGGATGCTGGGCTTAATGGGTCACCTTTAGCCTGATCCAGAAGGATTCTTTTTTAGAACTACGTAAATTCTTGGAGAATGAGGGTATGTTCAATAACTACTGTCAGCACACTTTGCACGAGATAAAAAAGAGAAAGGCAGGAAGGGGAAAAAGAAGTCATCGCCACAGCTAATGGCTAAGGTGGCATCTCCGAACCAGAGTTTAGAACAAAATGGGAGGATGGAAGCAACGTCCCAGAGCTCTGGTAACAGTTCACTCAGTGAGCTAGATTCTGGGGGAGAAGTGGTCCCTAACAATGAAGGCAGCAAACCGCTTAGCAAATCGGGAAATGGGGACGATGCAATGCCCAATCGCGATGACAACATTATACAAGATGGGCAAGCCTTTACTCAGGCAAGATGTTGGAACCTGATTTTAAATCCCCAAAAATTGGTATTTACAAACTTCCCAAAATCAAAGGGCTTCCTTACAGGGAAAGATCGAAGAATGAGCTCCTTGAACATTCTGAATGATATATTGCCAGGAGCAGTATACACTTTTGTATACCTATTGCTGGAAATCACTGCTGTCAGATTCAGGCCATGACGGTGAGCTTTCCATAGACATGTCTGATAACAGAATGCTGGATTAGATGGGCCTTTGGTCTGATCCAGTCGACCCTTTTTTATGTCCTTAAATCCCTGGTTCTTCAAAAACAGCTGGCACTATACGACTATATGAACCTTTTATTTCTTCAAATATCTTCTTTGAAAAGAATTCCCAAATAGTTGTGGAAATTCTCATACGCTTCCTTGCTTTATTGCATACACTTATCCATACCATATGGTACATTTGCATCATTGAAGACTGGAAGAGCCTTGTTCTCAATGACCAACCAGATGTCTATGGGAAGCCCAGCAAGCATGAACTGAGCGTAACAGCAACTCTCCCCCCCCAAAAAAATATTCTCGATTATAATGCATTTTTTGTACGTTATTTTCACTTAGTACAGTATGTCCATTCTTATGCACAATTTTATACACATCACCTGGCTGCAGAACTGCATGGAAATATTTGTGTGGATTTCATAGGAGTACACTGCTTCAATTGCTATACCATTTCAGAAAACACAACCTGGATCAAATTTCTCCCCCAATCTTACCTCCAGCAGTGGGGGTTAAACAAAAACAAAAACTGCTCTGTGTTGTGCACAGAATGACTAACTGAAATCCTGGGTATTAAAGTCAATTAGACTTCTGAGAAAATGAACAACTATTTTGAAAATAATGAATGGGGACAAAACACCTTTTGATCTGCCTGCCAGGAGGAACAGACAAGAATTTTTACCTTTCTTAATCTTTTATTAGCTTTGTCTTGTGGAAGAATAACTATGAAGAGAGTGAGGTGCTGTGAAAACACTTAACACTTTTGCCTCGTTTCTTAATTAGGGCCATGATGCATTCCAAAAATTGCTTACTAATTAAAGCCGGAGGGGAAAGGAGGTGTATCCAAGCTGGATGTGGAGCCACCAGCAGATACAGATGAAATGGTATAAAAGGGCTCCCTGAGCTGAGATCTTCCAACAGCTTCCTTTGGCTTCATCTCCTTCACTTCATTTCTACTCCTCTGAGACTTTGGTAAGTCAAGTGTATGCATATATGATGTTATATCTGAATGATTCTTGCAGTGGTCAGAGCGTTCAGGTAACTGAACTCCAAGAGAAGGCTAAAATTCTATTACTCTGTGAATTGGGTAGATCTTCCTTCCACCAGGAACCTTACACTCTTAAGTTGTTGGCTGTCTTCTTTTCTATATGTACCTTATGAAATCAAGTATTTAGCTGCCTGATTCTGAGTGTTAGTCCATCTAGCTCAGTTTTGGCCACACTGATCAGCTGTAGTTCTCCAGAGCTTCAAGAAGGGAATCTTTAGCAGCTCAATCTGCAGATTCCAAGGACCAAACCTGGGATGTTCTGAATGAAAACCACGTGTTCGGCCACTGAACAATTGTCCTCCCCCTAAAATTATAGTAAGGTACTAATCTTCATGGTTCCAAATAAATACCTGACTCAAATGAGCATAGGGAGTTGTCCTGTACCATGACAGACCATTGGAATCCCTAGTTCAGTTTTACCTACTCAGATTGGCCGTTGTTCTACAGGCCTTGAAGCAGGGGACATTCCTAGACTATCCTGAAATTATCAGGGATTGGATTTGGGATCCACAACGAAGAGAAGGGCTGTAGTAACAAAAGCAGAGAAGAATAAAGGTTTCAGGCATAAGGGCTTAATGTTTTCAGAATTATCAAAGACAGCTGATTTTCAGTGATGGAGAAAGGAAGATGGATTGAGTTTAGTGAACTGGGAATGGGTAAAATATCCTACTGCCACAGGATGATTATGTCTGAAATATTCTCCCCACTGTCCATTGAAGTGATGTACCCCACACTTATTTTGTCCCTTGGTGTTTTTGGTTTCAGACTCACCTCCACCCAACAATGGTTGACTGTGGTCCATCCTGTGCTGTCCCATCCTGTGCTTCCACCCCCACTGTTGGGTTTGGCTCAGCAGGAGGTCTTGGCTATGGTGGTCTCGGCCATGGATTGGGAGGTCTCGGCTACGGTTTTGGAGGACTCGGCTATGGATATGGAGGCCTGGGCTATGGAAATGGAGGTGCTGAAAGAGCAGCCAACCTTGGCATCCTAGATGGGATTATCCCTAAACCCATCAACCAGATCCCACCAGCAGAGGTCGTGGTCCAGCCACCTGCCTGCGTTGTGACCATCCCAGGGCCCATCCTCTCTGCCAGCTGTGAGCCTGTGGCTGTTGGAGGCAACACTCCATGTGCCGTTGGTGGTTCCGGGATCGTAGGAGGCTTTGGGGGCTTGGGCTATGGGTCTGGTCTCCTTGGAAGCTCTGGGGGCTTCGGCTATGGTTTGGGTTACGGGAGGGGAGCACTCCTTGGAAGGAAGTTCGGGCGCCATTTTAGCATCTGTTCATAGACCAATTAAACCTGAGAAGCATATCCTGAACTGATAATCAGAGGGCTTGATACAGATCTATCGGCCATGGTTCAGAAAAGCTGAACTCAAGCAATCGCTCCTGGAATTCATCCTCCGTTCTTTGCTTCAGAGTGCAGAAGAAAAAAGATCCTTCTACACCGATTTTCTTCTTTGCCCCTTTCAATGCTCTTACTTTGACCTTTTCAATAAAGCTTGTTCTGCATTCTAATAACCTGTTTGTCCTGGTTTTTAAATGTAAAGCCTCAGTTCCGCATAGCAAGGTGTCCAGGGCCTCAGCTGTCTGAAGCAGTTTTTGGCCAAACTAAAATTGGAACATTTGCAGGACATCTTTCTCTCTGTCCCCCTGAATGGTATAGTTCTATGTGGTTAAAATAAGGTCCATTCGCCTTGAGAGAATTATCATTTCCCCCTTTTTCAAAACAAGTGCTGGGTCCCCTTTTAGAGCGCCTCAAACCATTAATTATTCAGAGAAGCAACAGTCATAATAGCTAGATAATCTTTTGTAGTTTTGCAACATTTGCATACATACACAGTGTGGAATGTATTGTGGAATGCAGCTTTTGTAATCGATATGTTACAAGACTTTGGACAATAACATATTTTTGGTGGGTGATAATGTAGTCAAATGCTGCAGGATTATCCAGCCTCTCAGTCAGATACTGTATTTTGATAACAGTTTTAAATTATTGCATACACGAGTTAAAGAAATATATTAAGCACATTTAAACCTTGACTTCATTTTTTGATCTGTAATCAGCATTTAAAGCTATCCAAACTAGTGGCAATCGCCACATCTTCTGGTACTGAATCTAGAAGTTTATGCATTTTGTGAAGAACTATATCCTTTTGGTTCCACTGAATTCTGCAAGATTCTGGTACCCTGCATGGCCCCTGCTTCTAGCAATATGAGAAAGGGAGAAAAAAAGTCTCTCTATACATTTTCTCGAATTTTGAGAGACAGAAATCCTCAGAATGTCCACGAGGTGGTTGTGTTAGCAGACCAATTAGCCTTGAAGAGGAGGAGAGAGGCAAGCAAACTGCACAGAGAAAGGTGCGAAGTCAGGTCAGTAGCACCTAGTGCCCAAGCTCCCCAGTTAAAATGGCAAAAGCTGTAGACATCTTGCCCTAATAATAATAATAATAATAATAATAATAATAATAATAATAATAATAATTTTTATTTATACCGAACCCTCCCCGGCCAGAGCCTGGCTCAGGACAGCTAACACCAGTAAAATTACAGTAAAAACATACCAGAAAAACCCCCGATTTAAAATACAGGTTAAAATTCAATTTAAAATGCAGCCTCATTTTAAAAGTAGCCCATAGATCAAAACCATAAGGGGAAAGAAACATGAGTCAGACTGAGTCCAAACCAGTCCAAGCCCTCCCAAAAGGTCAAACTCTGTAAAATGAGGTTTGAGAAAGCCGCAAGCTTTGACACCGAGTTAATGGAGGAAGTTTTAATGAATAACAACACACATTGGGCATCTCTAGACACAGGTACAGGAATCACTTTATTAAGAGAAGATCTAAATACTTCCACAAATATGTTTCCTCACGAAACAGCAAAAGTCACAGACCGCATCCAGATTAGCTCCCAGTGTCTGAGGCAAAGATTTACTGGAGAGGGAAAGATGAGCCAAAATTCTTAGGCAGAATATACTGGGAGCCGGAGAGAATGGTTGACTGGTTCTGGGCTGGTAGGAGGCTATGGCTATGGGTCTGGTCTCCTTGGAAGCAACTTCGGTGGCTACCTTGGAGGTTCCCTTTATGGTCTGAGGAGGGGTGGGCTCTTTGGAAGGAAGGCCCTGCTGGGACGTCGTGGTAGTGTGTGCTATTAGATATATTGGACTCTTGAAGAACAAATGTGTGATGATGACAGGAATGACCCTCAACGGAAAAAGATGATGCAGATCCATTACTGAGTGTCTCATTCTGGATTCTGAAAAATCTGAGCTTTTGGGACCATCATCAAGCCCAACAGCTTTTAAATGGCTCTCAGCAACCTTTCCTTACTCCTTTTCAAGTCTTTCCTCAAAGTCTGTAGACCAGTAATAAGTTCAGAGCCACGTTCCATTGTGTGTGCTTTTTCTTTGTTCATTTCTGCTTCTTGTACAATTGCCCCCTCAATATTTTCAATAAAGCTCATTCTGAATTCAAATATGTCTCTCTTTCTTGGTTTGTTACCTGCTCTTATTTCTCAAAAGGAAGTGGGGGGGGAGGGTATTCTCTCACGCTGGAACAGTTTTGGAGTATTTTGTCCTAGGGAGTTCCTGAGCTAACAGAGAACCGAAGGGAGGACATACTAGGCTCATAAGTTAGTGGAAGAGTGGGAAACTGCATGAATTAAATATTTATCGCATTTGTATCCAACCCTTTCTTCAGGGAGCTCAAGGTAGAACATATAGTCCTCCTCCTCCCCATTTTATCCTCACAACAATCCTGTGAATTTTGTTAGGCTGAGAGTGAGTTGACTGGCACAAGCTCACCCAGTGACCTTCATGGCCAAGTGGGGCTTTGAACTCTATTTCCCCAGGTCTTAGTCCAACACTCTAACCACTACACAACACTGGCTCCTTGGGCTTCCCAAATGTTGCTAAGGTACAACTCCAACCATCCCTGGCCACTGGTTGTACTTTGTTTTGGACCTAATATTTCTTAAAGTCTAACAGGAACCAAGTTAAATCTTCCTTGGGGTGGAAGGCGGATGCTCTCTGTGCAACCTGTCCAAAGAGAGATCCTTACTGTTGACTTAGGAGCATCCCTTCATTATTGAGGAGTTGGAGGATAGGTATATAGGAAGCTGCTTTACACTGAATCACACTGTTGGGTCCATCTAGATCAGTGCTGTCTTTAGTGTCCGGCAGTGGTTTTCTGAGCTCGACTTGGAGATGCCAGGGAGTGCCTTCTGCATGCAAAGCAGGTGCTCTACCATGGCAACATGGTCCTTCCTGTAGAAGTAAAACAGAATCCCAGTCCTTATGATTCTGAATAAAAGGCTGGTTTAAGTAGGGGCATCAGGAGCTACTTCATATGGAGTGAGACCGTTGGTTCATACAGCTCTGTATTGTCTATGCTGACTGTCAGTAGCTATCCAGGGTTTCCGATAGGGGTCTTTCCCAGCCCTGGTTGGAGATGCAATGGATTGAAACTTGGATATTCTGCATGCAAAGCAGGTACTCTGCAACTGATATGTGGCTCTGTGAAATCTTAGTCAAAGACAAGTGGAACAAGGGGTCTTCCTCAGTGCTCACGTCTCAGGGTTCGTACTGAGGAGGGCTGCACTGAGGAGCAATGGCCGGAGTCTCCCCCTCCCCCTGCTCCTGAATCTTCCCAGGAGCAGTGGGACAGTATATGTCAGGAGCATAGCAGAGCCAAGAGATGAAGGAGATGGAAGAGAAACAGGGTGTGACTCTCAACATGAAAGACTGCAATTAGAGCAGGAGGAAGTGGGCTCGGCCCCCTTTCTCCAAGTGTTCACTGAGTTAGTTAGAGCAGACACAGAAAGCTCACAAGACGAGGGAGGGGAAGAGATAGACAGCACTGGAGGGGTTGTTGTTTTTATTGTTGTTTAGTCGTTTAGTCGTGTCCGACTCTTCGTGACCCCATGGACCAGAGCACGCCAGGCACTTCTGTCTTCCACTGCCTCCCACAGTTTGGACAAACTCATGCTGGTATCTTCGAGAACACTGTCCCACCATCTCGTCCTCCGTCGTCCCCTTCTCCTTGTGCCCTCCATCTTTCCCAACATCAGGGTCTTTTCCAGGGAGTCTTCTCTTCTCCTGAGGTGGCCAAAGTCTTGGAGCCTCAGCTTCACGATCTGTCCTTCCAGTGAGCACTCAGGCCTGATTTCCTTAAGAATGGATAGGTTTGTTCTTCTTGCAGTCCATGGGACTCTCAAGAGTCTCCTCCAGCACCATAGTTCAAAAGCATCAATTCTTCGGCGATCAGCCTTCTTTATGGTCCAGCTCTCACTTCCATACATCACTAAGGGGTTACTAAGCAACAATCAGATAGGCAGAGGACTGAGCGCTCATCCTTGGACAGTGTAGATTTCCCCCCTTCCCTCTGCTCACGTCCAAAGTGCTGAAAAGGTCAGATTGCAACAGTAGTGCAAAAGGGGAAAGGTGGGACGTTGGCATTTTTCCTGTTGTGACACAAGTGATTTCTCAGAATGACCAGCTGATTTCTATGAAGCAGAGGGCTGTAGCCATGCTCTGATTGTATTGTGAATAAATGAAACCATTGAAAACTGCCAGAGACTCGTTAATTCTTATCTGGGCTTGGAAGCCTGCCTGGAAATCATTATGATATAGATTTGGAATACAGTGGTTTGCAGAGCGACATAGTTCAGAAGACAGAAGTTGGGAAGAACTGGGTGGTGAACAGCTAGGAGGAGGAGAACTGGGGGAGAGAGAGTTAATAGACTCTCTTTCACTGGAAAGCATTCATCTGCTCAGCCCAAGGTCAAGGAGAGCAGATAAGGTGGCAGCACAGAAAGCAAAGTGCTTGTGAGATCAGGTTGCAAGACATGGATGTGACGTGGATGACAAGGGGGGAAGTGGGTGGAATCCTTAATTGGGAGCACCTTCATTCCTAGAAATGGATTCTTTGTTCTCTCACTGTGATCATTAAAGTTTCTAACTGGTAAGAGACTCCTTTTGCTTTGTTCTGCTTATCTACTGCCAAAGGGGGTGGGGAGCCATGTACCTGAAGCCTGACATCACGTAATTTGTAATACACAATTTATTGCCACCACTTGGGTCATATTTATAAATATGACCCAAGTGGTGGCAGCAAATTGTGTATTACTGAGGGTCCTAGGCCATGAAGGGCTTTAAAGGTCAAAACCAGCACCTTAAATCTGACCCTGTACTCCACCGGGAGCCAGTGCAGCTGGAAAAGCACTGGGTGAATATGCTCCCATGGCAGAGACCCCGTGAGGAGCCTCGCTGCAGCATTCTGCACCCACTGGAGTTCCTGAGACAGCTTCAATGGCTGTAATTTGCTCACCTGATGAAGTCTCTCACCTCAAACTATTGTGTATCTATTTACTGCATTCTTATCCACTCTTCAGCTAAGACAGTTTGCAGAACAGCTTACTGAGATTATGAAGCCCGTCCCTGCCCTTTGGCTTAAAACTAAAAAGACACAACACAAGTCAAAAGTTGCTGGCTCCAAGTGAGCTGATGGAGCTCCCGTTTCCTC